GGAAGGACATGTTGCCAAACCTTGTTCTAAGGGCTGGTATTTTTAGTAAGAACATAGAGGTACTTTGGAAGTTGTAGCTGAGAAATTGCAGAGTTAAGAGGTCCTCTAGATATTAGGAGGATTTGTTTAAAAGGACATTTAGGATGAAGTTAGTCTAGTGGTGGTCTCTTCGGATGTCAAGGGGTGATACATTGGATGCGATTTAGAGGTTGCAATGATGCGTTCTTTAGGGACATCAACGGAAAAGCGTAGAGCAGAGTGGCATTTTTTATAGTGGTTTCAGGGGCTAGTAAGTAGATGTCGCAATGGTCAAAGATGGAAAGGATGGTGGCTTTGACTATATCAAGAGTTAAACAGAGAGAGAAAGAACACAGCCACTCATTCAATTTGTAAGTGACTGCAAGATGTAAATACCTTCCATATATTTGAAGTCAAGTTGCCAACCCTGTTTTCAATGCATGTACCATGTCTGTATCAACAGTGAGACTGGTGTTGGAGATTCTCCTCTCGGGCAGATTCAGCTCACCATCCGACACAGCGCACAGCGCAATCAGCTTGTTGTGGTTGTGCACGCATGCAAGTAAGTGGCACTAACCGATGCACACCCTAAATACATTTGCATTTGTTCTGACACATGCAAGTTTATCTTTGAACCATTGCCTTGTTCTCATCAATGTTTCCATCTTCTTCAGAAACCTTCTGACACCATCGCATGAAGGGGCAAACGTGTACGTGCGCATATATATGCACCCAAACCGCAGGCGGCTGGGGAAAAGGAAGACTTCAACTGTTAAGAAGTCTGTCAACCCTGTCTTCGATGAGACGTGAGTGGGTGGAAAATAGGGATGTCAGAATTCAGCTGAAAGCATACCATAGAACCAGCTACTCAACTGTTCAATTAGTTTTCATTGTGCTCTTTCATGATTGAGGTGATAACTTTATTCCTATCTAATCAACCCCGACTATTTGTTGCCTGCCTATTGTAGATTGGAGTTTACGATGACACTTGCCGAGGCGAAGGAAAAACACATTCTAGATCTGGCAGTCAAGCATGACGGGGGATTCCTGGCCAAGGAGGAACTGTTGGGAAAGGCAAGCATCATGAAAGACATTGACACCATGTTCTAATGTGCTACACCTTGCTTCACTATATTGCTCATGCAACAGAAGCAATGATTTAATTGGAAATGCTTTCTTTTATCTCCAGCTTCAGGTTGACGTGCAGTCCCTAGACCTGACAAAAGGCACCACCAACTGGTGAGTGGAACGCAGGGCGTCTTGCACGCACCCCACGTGTAGCTCCTCTTTCACATCACGACAATTACCTGTCCATGGTCACCAGTGCGACTTTTACAACCATTTTTCTGCTAGAGGATAATCCATGGCCTAACATTTCTGAATAAGAACTACAGTGAGGGAAAAAAGTATTTGATCCCCTGCTGATTTTGTATGTTTGCCCACTGACAAAGAAATGATCAGTCTATAATTTTAATGGTAGGTTTATTTGAACAGTGAGAGACAGAATAACAACAACAAAAATCCAGAAAAATGCATGTCAAAAATGTTATAAATTGATTTGCATTTTAATCAGGAAAATAAGTATTTGACCCCTCTGCAAAACATGACTTAGTACTTGGTGGCAAAACCCTTGTTGGCAAGCACAGAGGTCAGACGTTTCTTGTAGTTGGCCACCAGGTTTGCACACATCTCAGGAGGGATTTTGTCCCACTCCTCTTTGCAGATCTTCTCCAAGTCATTAATGTTTCGAGGCTGACGTTTGGAAACTCGAACCTTCAGCTCTCTCCACAGATTTTCTATGGGATTAAGGTCTGGAGACTGGCTCGGCCACTCCAGGACCTTAATGTGCTTCTTCTTGAGCCACTCCTTTGTTGCCTTGGCTGTGTGTTTTGGGTTATTGTCATGCTGGAATACCCATCCACGACCCATTTTCAATGCCCTGGCTGAGGGAAGGAGGTTCTCACCCAAGATTTGATGGTACATGGCCCCGTCCATCGTGTCTTTGATGCGGTGAAGTTGTCCTGTCCCCTTAGCAGAAAAACACCCCCAAAGCATAATGTTTCCACCTCCATGTTTGACGGTGGGGATGGTGTTCTTGGGGTCATAGGCAGGATTCCTCCTCCAAACATGGCGAGTTGAGTTGATGCCAAAAAGCTCCATTTTGGTCTCATCTGACCACAACACTTTCATCCAGTTGTCCTCTGAATCATTCAGATGTTCATTGGCAAACTTCAGACGGGCATGTATATGTGCTTTCTTGCGGGCGCTGCAGGATTTCATTCCTTCACGCCGTAGTGTGTTACCAATTGTTTTCTTGGTGACTATGGTCCCAGCTGCCTTGAGAACATTGACAAGATCCTCCCGTGTAGTTCTGGGCTGATTCCTCCCCATTCTCATGATCATTACAACTCCACGAGGTGAGATCTTGAATGGAGCAACAGGCCGAGGGAGATTGACAGTTCTTTTGTGTTTCTTCCATTTGCGAATAATCGCACCAACTGTTGTCACCTTCTCACCAAGCTGCTTGGCAATGGTCTTGTAGCCCATTCCAGCCTTGTGTAGGTCTCCAGTCTTGTCCCTGACATCCTTGGAGAGCTCTTTGGTCTTGGCCATGGTGGAGAGTTTGGAATCTGATTGATTGATTGCTTCTGTGGACAGGTGTCTTTTATACAGGTAACAAGCTGAGATTAGGAGCACTCTCTTAAAGGGAGTGCTCTTAATCTCAGCTCGTTACCTGTATAAAAGACACCTGGGAGCCAGAAATCTTTCTGATTGAGAGGGGGTCAAATACTTATTTCCCTCATTAAAATGCAAATCAATTTATAACATTTTTGACATGCGTTTTTCTGGATTTTGTTGTTGTTATTCTGTCTCTCACTGTTCAAATAAACCTACCATTAAAATTATAGACTGATCATTTCTTTGTCAGTGGGCAAACGTACAAAATCAGCCGGGGATCAAATACTTTTTTCCCTCACTGTATCGGTCGTGCTGAGGGGCCCAATTCTGCATTTTCCTCAGACGCCCAGCATCACTTTGCCTGTACTCACTAAATTAACTTCTACAACCAATTAGTATCCCGTGAACATGCACTATCACTATTGAACCTGACTTCTGCTTGTATTTCACAAACACACTGTGGTTGTTGTTGTTCGATTTGAACTGAGTAACTGTAACATTAAAAAACTGTTGATATTTTTGAATTCAGGTTGCCTATAATTTAGAATTGAGAGGGTCTATATCATTTTCTGCCCATACATTCGCATCTCGTGTCAATTCTAGAATCTCCTATGAGTTTGGCCCGTTTAAATTATTTGGTGCTATGCGAGACAAATCACAATACAAACTTAATGACACTCTAACATACTTCGAGGCCAAAAAATTATTCCTTAATCGTGAGACATTTATATAATTCCCGCGACAGTGACATTCACTGGCATCGCCTCAAATCCTCTGCAGCCCACTCGAGTGGCTGACCCGTTGTTATGTGGCGCTGTGAGGACACAACCTCACGATGGAGGCGCGTGTGTGGTGTCACCGCTGCAGGTACGACTTGACGGTGGACGGAGACATCCTCAAGAACAAGTGAAGGAGGGAGCGAGATCACGGCCTCAGGGTCCTTTTCACTTGGCTATGCCTTATTATTACACATTACTGTCACATATTTACGGCTGTTTATAGGTTACGCAATAAACTTTTTTTTATTTTAAAATTTTAAATCGAAAATGTGTTACGTATGTTTTAAATACTTACGTGTTTGTCTGCACGGTAACAAATGTTACGACTGGTCGCTGCCCTGCGCTGGTCATGACAATTACAAAGCCTCTGTGCTGGCTTACTTTACTTTTAAAGCTTCTGACGCCAAAGCCCAGCTTTACCGGTTCTCCTTCACCAGCCATAATCTACAACTACAGAAACATCTGCTGTTGAGTGGGTAGGGCCTGTAATTAAATAATATGATCAATGTTTTCCCGCAGTCGCGTTGTTTATGGGTATGTTTTTTATGTATTAACGATATCGCAAGTGTCAGATTCATAGATCTCACCGCCTGCATAAAAAAACTCAAGAATCGAGTTACACAATATATGGACTTAAAAAAAACACACACACACTCCAGCACCAAGACACGTCTAATCTAGGTAATTTATCAAAGCCAAAGTCTCAACCAGTCTCAGAATAACAACACAATATTTATAGCAATTCAACAATACAAAATAAAACCCGCCCGACACGTGTTACACGTGGTCAACATAGGATGTGACATAGCCCAGACAAAGGCGTTGTCCGTGGTTTTTAAGTGGGGGCTCTATCTTGTCCCGCAGCGAGATGGTCAATACAAGGGTGGAAGGCGCGATTTGGTGGAGCAGGTACGGCAGAAGTCAGCCAGCATGGCCAGGTCTCGCCCAATGCGAAAACACCACCGCCGCCGTCACACGGGGGGCTCCCTGCTGCAGGATGGACCGCACGGACGCCCGGTCACGCCGGGCCGCTCTGGTCACGCCGGAGCTGCCGGCCGGAGCTTTGCCGGTGCCACCGCCTCGTGCAGCGCCTCTAGCGCCGATTGCGGGAAAATAATGCGGGTCCAGTGGGGGGGGGCGGGCGGGCGGGTCCAGTGGGGGGGCGGGCGGGTCCAATGGGGGGGTTGGGGGATGAGGGGGGGGTCCAGTGGGGGGGGGGGGGGTCCAGTGGGGAAGGGAGGTGGTTGTGGGGGATGAGGGGGGGGGTCCAGTGGGGGGGGGGGGTATAACTCGCCGAGCCGCCATCTGTGCAACAACACAAAAAGAGCTTCCTCGCTCATCGGATTCCTCCTCGAGTCTAAAGATTCTGAGTCTGGGGGGCGCTGTTGGGGTGGGGCGCGGGGGGGGTGACGTCAGAGGTGCGGCCCCGCCCAGTGCAGCGGTGCCGGGGCGGGGACGGAGCTGGCGCCACGGTCACCACCACCACCACCACGCCGGGCTCCTCGTCACTGCAGAGGCGGGTTGAGGCAACAGTGACTCGAGGTGGAACGGACCGGAGGGGACCTGGGGGAGACAAAGGGGGTCGGGATAGGGCGACTCGGGGCGGTGTTCGGCAAGAGTGGCTGAGGTGAGTTGGGGGAGAGGGCTGCGCTGGACAGGAGAGAGCTGGCGAGAGGAGCTGTGGGAGTCGAGGGGATGAGGCTGTTAGACGAGGGGATGAGGTTGTTAGACGAGGGGATGAGGTTGTTAGACGAGGGGATGAGGTTGTTAGACGAGGGGATGAGGTTGTTAGACGAGGGGATGAGGTTGTTAGACGAGGGGATGAGGTTGTTAGACGAGGGGATGAGGTTGTTAGACGAGGGGATGAGGTTGTTAGACGAGGGGTTGAGGTCGACGGGAGGGACTGGACGCTTGGAACAGTCTGGAGAGGCGTGGAAGGCAATCGGAGGCTGGGTGGGACAGGGCTGAGTGGCTTGTAGGCAATGAGGACTTGGATACAAAGGGGGGCGTGAGTTGGCCACGTTGACCCGGCAAGATCTGGGAGACCGAGGTAGCAGAACCAGGGAGACGAGGTTACCTGGGGTAGACGGTGGATGTGAGACAGTGGTACCTGCGAAGCCAGCGGTTAGCCTGGTAATCTTGTGGACACCTGGGTGACCAGTTGGATTTTTAGTTGATAGTTGTCAGCATCAGAATCTGTGTTTTAGACTGGAGGAATCCGATGAGCCACGAAGCTCTTTTTTCCCACACATGTTCAGTTGTAGGAACACGGGGGGAGGGCGAGGAGGCTGAGTGCGTGCTAGAGTGAGACCGCTGCTCTCCTGTCCCGTTTCCTTGCAGGCACGGGTGGGGGGTAATGGGCGAGCTGCCGAGCTAGGGTGCCCCCTGCACCGCAGCTGACCGACAACGACCGTGCCCTGTGGGACTGCCCGGACGGCAGCAGCAGCAGCGGTCATCATGACGAGCACGGCAGCGTCGGGCGGTCCGCCCCCAGCAGACGGACGAGAGGAGCAGGAGGCAAACGAGACTCCATCTCCATCACCGACGTCGTCGGAGCCTCGGGGCTCCGTGTCGAGCATGGCCGGCAGCTATGCGGGCGACGGGCCCAGCGCTGGACTTCAGTCGCTGCTCTTTGCCTTCGCTCGCACCTTCCTGTGCCTCTTCCCCACCTACCTGGCCGGCTGCCTGGGCATGAGCTTCAGCTGGATCCTGCTGGGAGTGGTCGTGTGGCTGGGGTACAAGCGCATTCGAGCCAACAAGAAGCAGTTGCTGCTCAAGAGACAGCAGCTCAGCAACTTTGAAGAGATGTGCATTCGCTCCGGGATCAAGCACCAGGATCTGCCCGCCTGGGTTCGTATTTGGGGCTGGCCTCAGCCATGCCCACCACGGCACCCATGCTGACTGTGCCCAGTCTCTCTTGCTGTGTGACTCTTGAGCAGGGAGGGCCCATTCACAAGAGCCCCTGGGACCATGCAAAGGATAACTGTAGACGCTCAGACACATTTTACATACCATTACATTACAATAATGAATCTGGATTTAATTGCAAAACCCTAAAAAATTATCTCCAGTATAGTTATGTTTGTTTACCCAGGGAGGCCTCACTTGAGGCTCCTGAATTTTTTCAGGAGGGTCCTGCCAAGTACGGCATTCCAGATGAGTTTATTTTGCGGGTCATTTTATTTTTCTAACTCGGACCATGACGCCGGCTCATAACGGCAGCTTGCTGCAAGATATATCACATTGCACATATACGGAAAGCGTACTAGCTAAGGGTGACGTGGCATCTAGATTCCTCCATGATCTTTTGCACACCCCATGTGTTCAACCCCAGCTTTCCCAATTGCAATAATCCCATGTATGCACTATTCTGTGCTTCTAATTCAACCCAATGAGTTGAACATCCTGTTTGGCCTGTTTCGGTTTAACAGAAGTAAGCAAAGTCTGGATGTTGCAAATTTGCTGTAAACGGGCCAAAAATGCTCTATTCAGAGCTGTCAAGGACACTTCGATACTCTTGAAATGTCGAAAAGTAAAATCTTTTTTTTCAACGAGTGCTTTTACCCACAGCCAAAACAATGTGGTACATTATGTAACAGCACGTGGATATAAATGGGCCAAGAAGACTGCGGCTTTGATGAGGTAGAGATTATGCTGAGGGTGTGCAACTGGAGGGACAAATCAACAGCTTCGATCATGTTTTGGCCCTACAATTCTCGTGTCCGGCCGCCACATTTGTCTTGAAGCATAGTGCTTTGCATGGCTGGTTTAATTTGTGTTGATGAAGTTCGTGTAGCTGCAGTGACCATCATGTAGGGGAGATTCTGCACGCCAACCAACTTCTGTTTAATCCCTGACAGCTGAAGCAGCAGCATCAGTGGGCAGTCCTCCAGTGAGTTGTGGTGCACTATTCATAAAGTATACCGTGTACTGCACGTGATGGTGTAATGTAAGTAATCTACTGTTTTGAATTTTCTTTTTACAATGCTGTAACAGGAATGGCATCACAATGTTGGAGAGCAGTCCTGAATGTAGCGCGTTGTTTGATGCTGTGTAAGGCTAGCACTGACAAGTCCCTTAAACATATCTTGTTGGGAAGGGGAGTGACTCCTTACATTGAGCTCATCATACTGTACAACATGTTTTGTGCACTGTAATTGAAAGGTGTAACTTGCGTAGTTGCATTCTATTAACATTTAAAATTTAGAAATCGCTGCTCCATTTCAGGTAAAAGTTTATGTTACTCTTGCTGTTAAACCTATTTTAAATATTACCCCAAATTCCATTTCACTTGATGGAGCCCTGCTGGAAATGTCATGAGACTCGATGAGGTTTTTTTCGGTACACAAGAATAATAATAACTTATGCATGAAATAATTTTACTTTGCATGTGCGATGCATTAAATGTGGCTGCCTCGTGACTGTCATTCACACCACTTGGTCAGTTTGCCTGGAATTTTATTGGGGAATTGCTAAAATAACACATTTGCTGTGATGTGGAAATTGAACGCCATGTGATATGATGATCCACGTAAGTAGTGTTGGTGCTAAGATCCGAGGCATGTATTTAAACTACGCACAAGACATTTGAAATGTTTTCCTCATGTTACTGTAGTTCACTTGGCATCTCTTCCAAAAGACATCATTAGTCATTGGGGTAGAATGTTTTAATAAAGGACATCAGACGATCAATGTAGTTATCTCACACGTTAATGTGTTAAACATCAGACCCAAGAATGTTTATTCCGTGATTGTGCTATTATATACAGTTTATGTTCTCATAGTCACTGTATGTTTGGGAATGCGAGTTGGTGAGAGTTGTTTTACCAGGAGTACGGTAATATTCGTGCACTGCTGATGCTGTGTCAATGTTGTTTTTACAGGTGCAATTCCCAGATGTGGAGCGAGTGGAATGGCTGAACAAAGTACGATTACATGACAGACACACACGCATGCATGTGCACACGGTGTCACCAATTGGCACAAATGCATGTTTAGAACATGTGATGCTGCATTGTGGAGCGGAGTGCTGAACCCAGCCGCTGTGACCTTGCATTCCACCACACTGGCTGCACAGGAAGTGAATGTATGGGATCTTCTCTGATGACATCATTCACAATAATCAGTATAATTTAATCTAGCACTTTTCACAAAAATCCCATAATTAGTCTTGTAATAGTGACTTCTTGCCGACATACCTTATAACATTAATATCAATTTACCTTTGGTGCTCATGAGTGGTGTCTTGTTTGCCTGTGGCAGGGGGACCTGAGTGACCAAACGGAACAAAAATGAATGACACGAGGAAAGCCGAGTGTCTTATTGTACAGCTGCTGTGTGCTGGAGTGGAGTGGTTGGTGTGCCGTGCAGGTGTTGGTGCAAGTGTGGCCTTTCTTTGGGCGCTACATGGAAGGAGTGTTCCGGCAGGCGATTGAACCGGCTGTGCGTGGATCAACCGATTACCTTAAGACATTCACCTTTACCAAGCTCCACTTTGGAGAGGAGGTTGCTTGCCGCACCACACAACTGATCGTTGTCGATGCAAACCAACCTTGGCTTTGAACTTTGCTCATTAAGTGCCTCAAACGCCTCTGTCAATATGCAGTGGAGAATGGATCACAGTTGCATTATAAGGGTGGGTGAGATGAAGTTGGAAAACATTTAAAGTGAATTGTGTCTGCTTTTTCAGCCATTTAAGGTGACTGGAATAAAGACATATTCGCAGAATGTGGACAAGAGGCAGATTATCCTTGACCTGCAAATCAGGTATGTCATCCCACGTGTGACTCGCGGAGGATTTTTACTTGTCAAACGTTGCACGTATATGTACGCAGAGTGCGTTGCCTGTCAGGGTGTATGTGCACAAGACATGCGCACTGGTGCGCACTGGTGCGCATGTCTTGTATGCAGGTGTGCAGGGATTTCAGGTGTACATGTGGCAGTGGATTGTGTTTTGTGTTGGTTGAGTGTGGGTTCGCCTGAACGTTGCTGGGCACAAAAAAACACTGCCAGAGATAACACGTCGGCTTTCGCGACCAATATCATCCATAATAGAGTTTTTTTGGGTTAGATCGCGTAAATATATAAATGTGTCGTTAAAACCCGCCACCACCCGACACAGCCAACTAGTAAGGGTTGTCACATAAACAGAACATGCCAATTCGTCACTAGTACAGCACACTGGTGTGTTGTGGCTGACTCTCCAACACACCGGTGTGCTGTACTCATGACGAATTGGCATGTTCTGTATACGTGACAACTCTTACTAGTTAGTTGGCTGTGTCGGGTGGTGGTGGGTTTTAACGACACATATATTTACGCGATCTAACCCAAAACACCTCTTATGGACTGCCAGAGATGGTGGTATATGGAAGTGAGAAAACAGCATTACGTTGACCGTTGCTCCTGTTGAACACATGTTTGTGCTTAATTTGATAGGCGTGTACTTGATAAGCATCTCAATTCTGTAGTATGTTGATTGATACATTTTGACAAATGTGTGAAGTGGTCCTTGTGCGAACTTGTTGAAGTTGTCACAAGTAGGCATGGTCCTACTTATGCACATTTCAGCTTTGTTGTCATTTTTGTATTGGCCTCTTAACTGCAAAGGTATTGCTAATAGTAATAACGAACTTTAGATGCGGTTGCATCATTCGAGGAGTGGGAATATGCACAAGTAGGCGAAGGAAATTGTGAAGCAGCGAAGCCACTCCGTGCGCACTTAGAAGATTAGGCGTCTTGTCAAGTTAATGGTGCTAGCAGTAATCTCTCGGTGGGCTAAAAATAAGTGAAGTTGATGCATTTTTTATGGAGTGCAAAGAAGCCTTTCAGACGATAAATCCAGAGTAACTTTGATATTTCAAAATGCATAGACATGGAATACAGTATACATTTTGTTTCAGGCTTGTGTTTGACAAACTAAAATTGGATGGACAGAAAAGGAGTTGAACTAGTTCTTGGATAATTGTGCATTTAATTAACCCTCCTAGGGCCACTCCCTACTCGAGGGACCCGGGAAGATCGTGTCTGTGTTGTGTGTATGTGTGTCACTCCGTCTGTTCACTCCCACGCTGCTCCCTCGTCAGCTCCTTGCGCTCGATAGCTCCTCAAATGGGAATGTTATGAGAAGAAAAAAAATACGTACAGTTAAGTGTTTCCCTTCTTCCAAATATGAACTGAGATCTTGATCTCAAGTCATAGTTTATGCTGAAGTCATTTATTCCAAACGTGTTTATGACGTAAGTATGCACTGTCTCCTATGTTTGCATGTATGTGTGCTTGTGTTAGAAATTGAACCACTTTATGGTACTAATCGCGTTACATTTTTGAAATGGCAAGTTTAATATGGACACAATCTTAAATAGTTTGGTAAGCCTAAGCCCCACTGGGTTGCCGCCACATGCCCACACATCACACAAAACTCCGTGTGCGTGTGTCTGTTTGTGTGGTGTAGTTTGTGTGCGCATGTATTTTCTGCACTCTTGTGGGTATTTAGTCATCTTCATACGTGTGTGTGTGTGCTCGTCTGCATCCACACACACACTTAGCATAAGCATGGGAAATGCCTGGCACTTGAAATCTTTGAAAAACGCCTTTTAAGGAAATGCAGTGTCGGACAGCATGTGGGAGGGTAGTGACAGCACAGTAAATGGCCCAGCACCATAGCTGCAGTGTCTACAGAGCACAGTGCAGACTCTTGCTGTGTAAACTCTGCACAATGCAGTGGTCCAAATGCACTTGGACCACAATTAAAAGGGATGTGGTTCACTGATCACAGTTGTTATTTAAACTGCACAGTTTTCAAAGTCCCATGCCTAAACTTCAGTGTATAATACAGATAGCATGTTTGGTAAATCATTATTTGGATGTGCCGCGTATATCTTTAATGCATTTAAATGGTTCCATTCGGTGTAATTTTCACTCGTAATTTTAGCGATATATATAACAATCAATGTATTTTTTTGAGAAAATCTACCATTGTATTCACATTGTTTAGGAATTAGATTTGTATTGTTATGTTTCCAGTACTTCACTGGATTACACATTTAAAAAAATAAGAAACCCATTTTACTTATTAAAATTGTTATGATTGTGATGTGACTAAAGCAGGCAATTGTTATGTATGTATATTGCATAGCTGATGTAAAGAGGATATTAACACCCTTCCAGAATGCGCATATTTTTGCTGATAGTTTATATAATACATCAGACCCATATTTTTATTCTAAATGGATGCACTGATTAATATGTAATCCCGAAAAGAGATATGTGGCATGAGCTAATGAGCGGAGTATAGAGTTTACAAAAGATGAGCTTAACCAGAGTGGGGGAAATTGTATTTCAGTTACGTGGGTGACTGTGATATCAATGTGGAAATCCCCAAGTACTTCTGCAAAGCTGGAGCCAAGAAAGTACAGGTAAGCAACAGAGGTGTATGTTTTTATTGCAGCTGTGTTAAATAAACAAATATTGGTTTAACCCTGTCTTAGTATTTTTTCATGAATACAACTTATGAATATTGTCTTTGTTATTTCTTGTACTTTAGCATGACTTAATAATGACAGCAGTTGAACAATGCCAGTCTTGTTTAAGGGTCACATGGCCACAGCAGACTGTACTCGGAGCGTACTGGAGCTGCTTTGCACTGCAGTGGCGAGAGTGCTGCTCATGGCATACCAATGAATTGGATTGTGCAACAGTAATGTAACATTACAAGTTCTCGCACTGATTTTCAAAACAAGACTATTACACGTGCCTGATGTTTGGATTATCCTCCTTTAGTGTAAATGTGGAAACAGTCGTTTACCATTATATTCGCAAGATTTATTCCACTAAATATGAGCATCCGTAAAGCAAGAATTGCACAAATCAAAACATCTTCCTACCTAGATAACAATTGGGCGTCACTCATTTCTGTTGCTGTCTCTGCTCCTTGTGGAAAGTCCACAGTTGCTTTGCCATGAAGGAGCAGCTGCCCCCTTTTTTGTGCTGAACTTATTTCCGTACGCGCTCTGTGTGTGTGCAGCTCCACGGCTCTCTGCGCGTCATCCTGGAGCCCCTCATCAGCCAGGTGCCGTTCTTCGGAGCGCTTACGTTCTTCTTCATTCGCCGGCCGGTGAGTTCCCCGCACTGGAAGGTGCCTCGAGTTTAGGCAGGGTGCGCTCTTCCATACCTGCAAACAAAAGGAAGCAATGAGAGTGTTCAGGCAGTTTCCCTCACTACCTTCGAGAATGCAGACATGCAGAAGGAGGGTGTGTCAGAGTGCACACACACTGGAACGCCCCTCTTTCATTGTGAGTCTTACGTGTTAAACCCTGAACTTTGCGTGGGCCTGGCTATCCTTAATTCTTTAAGTTTTTCATGTTTACCTGGTGATGTATTGGTGAATTGGGTAATGGGATAAACAGTCACGAATGGGCAGTTCCACGACTATGCAGCATTGTAATCATCCTCCCAATTGTGTGGGTAAATTATATAATAACAATGCCACTTTGTGATCCGAGTGCTGGTTATAATAAAACTTTGTTATTTAAAATATTGTATTTAGAACAACGGGAAGGTAATGATATATATGTAAGTGACGAAGGTTTTTACTGTACACGTTCTCAGTATGGCTGCAGGGAGATGGATGTTGAGGTGGCATGCGTGCGTGCATGGGCAGTGAGGTTGGGATCATTACTTCTCCGTTATCAGGAATGTGGGCAGGAAACGGCCACACCCTTTCTTGTTGGTGCATACTGACATTGAAATACAATTATGAGTCGCAAAATGACTTGTTGGCAGAATAGGCTCAGTAGCTCAAACTTAAAGATTTAAACTAATGCCTATGCTCTGTACTTAGCAATTCATTAAAAAAATATGTTTCCATAACCGTCCCAAATTTGACAAGGTCATTTTATTGAATGGAATTAGTGTAATATGTTTGTAGGGACGTAATATCAAAGATAATGATGGGGCTGGGGTGTAATGACTGGGGGGTAGTCTGCACCTGCGCACACAATAGGTGTACAAGTCGTTGATGGGTGGATGGGATAATTGGGAATTAATCGAGGGTGGTGGAACTTGTTGGGCCTCTGCAAGGACAGACCAGGGCGTGACCAGAGGCTGTTGCTGCTGTGGCCGTATGTTTTGATGGCTAAAATGAAGCATGTATAGTCTACAATGTTCAAAAATAGAATTTTGCGAGATTTTTCATGTCAAATTCTTAAGGAGGATGTTCAAATTTTAATCATTGCAAAATACTATTCCAATTCAGACATACATAATTTGTTTCAAATGTTATATTGTATAATGTAGATTTTTTTTTCAGAATTAATTACTTTACATGACAATTCTTCTGTATTGATGTTTTGCTTTCTTGTAACTTGCTATCTTTAAATACTCTAAAAAATGTTTTGATCAGTCATTATGTGACATAATGCCACATAATGTTGTACGTATGGTGTTATCGGAATGCACGGTGATGAAAAGTATGAGTTGACCTGTGCTGATAAGTTACGAGCTCGCTATGGGTATAATGCACTTTGTGGTTGTGGTTGTCTTAATATGATTTTTGTAACTGAATCAACGATTTGATATTGAATGTTATTTTTTCTTATTGATGGTAATCTTCTTCCTTCTTTTGTGGCAGCAATTGAAGATCAACTGGACAGGACTGACCAATCTGCTAGACATCCCAGGGCTCAAGTAAGTCCGTTTACCATTGATGGTCTCAATAGAACTCATACCACACCTCCAGCAGGCCAACGCAGCTCAGGCCTGATACAGTATCTTGGGTAATGTAATGTAAACAGTGACCAAACCAGATGTGGCCTCGTTACATAAACACGTAGATCGTTTTCACTCCTGTGCGGAACGAGTAATTTAACGCCTCATCCGCAGTCTTTGTGATCCCAGAAATGTGACTCGTGTTGAGCTCTGTGTCACGTCAGCTCGTGTTTGACTGTTAATTTTTCCAGCAACATGTCGGATTCCATGATTACCGACCAGATCGCCAATCTCATGGTGCTGCCCAACCGCTTCACAGTGCCCATCGTGGGTGACTTGGAGCTTGCGCAACTCCGTTTTCCTATCCCTAAGGTAAGCTGTCTCTGACCCTTATACCCGGCTCTCCCTGCCACTTGATAAAACTCATTTGACACCAGCAGCAGTGCTATGTATTTTTTTTATTGCAGCAACATGTGGGTCCGGCAAGCCACACCGAGAGATTCCAACAACAGGATAAAATACAAAATCCACAAACATCCATTCCGGTGTGGCGTGACCACAGGAAAGGATCACAACGAAGGGGAGTAGGGCCCCCCCTCCCCGGTGCCGCAGTAAAGAGTGGACCTCGTGCAGGGGGGGAAATAGATGATTTAAATGGGGAGGGGAGACGGTGGGGTGCAATAGCAATGTCTTAATATCAACTGCGATCCCAAGTCGACTCGGCCTCTTACCACCTAAGAGCTATACATATCTAGATTTGAAGTTTTCGTGACTGCAGAGATCCATACTCTTTGATTCTTTCGGTAAAGTCACGTAGGTATAAAATAAAATAAATCACGACGTTTTGGGCGCAACATATGAGGACCACTTTTGTGGAAAATCAGCATTGATTTTCCTATGGTCAGATTGGAACCCACCAAAGAAATGTGGACTCCACACTGCTACTCCCAGGACCACCAATCGAGAGAACAGCACTTTCAAATGATCGTTTGTTCAAAGGCACACTTTTTCACCCCATCTTTTAATGAACCTCACCTCTTACTCCATACTGCTCCAAATATTTAGCCCAACTGCCAACCACCTTTCCAGTAACACTCTTTGTCATTGTGCCTTGTGTACTTTGTTGATTTGCCTGGCACCATTGATAGTTCAGTAAACCATTCCCATGGTGAAGGTGAAAGCTGTCAGCAAGATTTCTGCTGAGCTACTCTGCTTGGTCTTTATTTGTTTTTATCAGCCACCCAGTCATGTGAGCAGGAAATTACCAATGCTTGTGGTCTGTTGCCTTGTGAACATTTAAGACAACGTGGCATGACGCTTTTGCGTAAACCATTTTGTGCTTCATGTCTCCCGTCATGTGGTAGTTTTTTGGTTTATTCAAACTGGTTCAATTTGTCAATACAGTGACTGCATTAATGTAAACAGGATGCAGTTTTAAGTGTACACAGAAATTGTACAATTCAACTAATCATTCACAAAACTTTAAACCACACTTTATGTCATATAAAGGGCCATGGTGGTGCATGTAAGTTGTAATTGTATGCCTGAGTCTCTGTACGGTTATTCACATCTGCAGGGTGTGCTGAGGATACACCTGAAGGGGGCACGTGACCTTCAGCGGAAGGACAACCTTTTGAAAGGGATGATTAAGGGCAAGTCCGATCCTTACACGGTGCTTCACGTGGGCCCGCAAAGATTCCAGAGCAAGACTATTCCAGAGAACCTGCACCCTGTCTGGAACGAGATCTATGAGGTATGGAAAACAGCAAGGTTGTCCCCATGTGTCTGTGTTAGCAGGCACCTATTGAAGGTCACTATGGCACAAAATTAACTGGTGTGGAAAACACCATGTGAGGCCACCTTTTTATACAGAGTGCTGATGTACATACACTGTACAGTAGTATTTCATCAGTTGCTTCGATTGTTCTGTGTTTGACCTGAAGTTAAATACGTGCTCGCTAACATAATTTTTCTCAGTGGCTTACAAGCCTGAAAATTAATCCTTGTTGTTGGCCTTTTATATTGTTTCTTGCATAATTATGAAAGTACAACTACTGCCTCATAGATTGTGTTTTTATTCATGTGGTTACATGTATCTGTGGCTGTGCATGCTATATGTTTGTGGCTGGCAGTGTACACAGTATGTCAGCGGTTACCGCGCTGAGTTCGATTCTCACAGCCAACACCAGTGATGATTAACTGAACTGGGCCTGGGCCTTCTCTACTTCGACTCAGTCTTCAATGAGTACCTGGTCTGATATGTAAACATCACCACTAGGCAGACAATGGCAGAAGGGTGTGGTGCTAGCCACCCACACCATCATGTGCGTTCTGGCCTTCATAGGTCCTCTCTAACAGCACTTGCCCCAAAAGTATGTTCAAAGCTATACTCTGGATCTTTATGTGTGACTATGGGGAACTAGTGCAATGGTTAGCATACTGCATGCAAACCTGGCGACCCGAGTTCGATTCCCACTCGCTACTAATAAGAGTGCCGAATATTTGAACTGATTTTGGCCCTCTGAGTCGACCCCGAGGTTAAAAAAAAGGTGGCCATGGGTGGTGCTGACCACCTTCCCCCACACGTTCTGTGCCGGCATTCATAGGTGCCTGCTAACCACACTTGCCCCAACAGTCTGTTAAATCCTATATGGGGGATCTCTGTTTTGTGCACCTGCAGGCCATTGTGCATGAGGTTCCAGGTCAGGAGCTAGAGGCCACCCTGTTTGACGAGGACCCTGACAAGGATGACTTTCTGGGCAGGTAAGAGCATCCCTCCTGACAATAGTCCTTGCCCTTCCCTCCATTGCACCACACATATACTCTGCCATGAACTTAACATATAAAACACTGCCTGTCCCTCCTTGCTGTTGTATTTCAGTCTGACTATTGACTTGAATGAGGTGGCAAAGGAGCGTGTTGTGGATGAGGTGGGTCAACATTGCACACATCCTATCGCATAGGTGAAATTTATTTGTGGAGGTACTCACAGTTTGTGAGATATTTACGCAGCTTTTGTGGGTGTATTGGATTGTGGATTAATGTAGGGTTGATTAGCTTGGCGTGTGGGTTGAGGTGCTGCTGTTGGTCTGGCTGTGTATACGAAGGATTTGTGGTGGTGTTTTCGTGCAGTGGTTTGTGCTGGATGAGGTGGACACGGGGCAGTTGCACCTCAAGCTGGAGTGGCTCTCACTGCTCACCGATGCCAGCAGCCTGAACGAGGTACTCCTTAATCCTAGCACTCGCACAGACAAAAGACAAAGATCCCCCACGTAGCCTTAACAGACTGTTGGGGCAAGTGCTCTTAGGGAGTGCCTATGAAGGCAGGCACAGCAGACGAGGAGGTGGGTGGCCAGTACCACGCTAAGCCGACTTCGTCTCCATAGTTGCAATGTTTACATTGATATTGGCAGTGAGCGGGAATCGAACTCGGGTCTCCAGGAATGTAGCACGGTGTGCTAACCACTACACTACTGCTCCCCACGCACGAAAAATGTGAGCACACATCTACATTCACATTTAAAATAAGCAATGAAAAGAAACCGATCAGAATTGGGCTTGAACACATTGAGAGGTATCAAATGGGTGCCACATATTTTTTTGGTAGTGCTACAGCTTTCGCTCCGTCGTTGGCGTTGCCGTGTCTAAACGTATGCGTGTTGGTCCCGCAGATTCTGGGCAGCATTCGTGCCGGCCCAGGTCAGGCCAACGATGGGCTCTCTTCGGCCCTGCTCGTCGTGTACCTTGACTGCGCACGGAACCTGCCGGTAAGTCCTGCTCCGCACACACAGCTCACTCTCTCACACCTGTCGTGGAACGTTTTCACGAGTGTCACAAATTCCCATGCTTTATTAATTAATTATTATTTTTATTATATTTCAGAGCCCCGTTACAGAGCACAAACCACGACGCAGGGAGGGGGTACACAAACTCCACGGACAAATTCCCATTTTAACTTTAAATAGAAATGTAGCAGAGTGTGTTTTTTACCTACTCTTTGGTTCTATTCGGTAAAGTCACGTAGGTAAGATGGTTTCAAATTAAGCAACCATTGGAAAGATGTTCTAAATCGAACCAAACATTAAACTAATTTTCAATGGTACAGTATATTTTTTTCAAATAGTGGTACCCTAAACTTTCGCAGCTCTTAAAATTCCCTTTTCACACCATCGAAGTGTATACCCAGTTGCTGTTAATAGCTCAGCTTATTGAAGAATATATTGAGTGCATTTATTATATTGATGTAATTTAGACTTAGTTTTTTTCACATCGGTTTGCTGTATGATAGTTGGGTAGCTGTATGATAGTTGGGTAGCACGGCTCCTTTGGCACCCATGTATTAGGTGCCTCTGTGGATGTGTAGGCTTTGACTTTAACATAGCTATTTCTGTGACCAGCCATAAGCTGGTCCCTCGGCTGTTTCAATGCTGAATTCTCCTGTTTGATGTGTAAACCCCTTTGTCGGGGTGCCTCACTTCTCTCACCCAGCGTTCATTGGAGCTCTGTCATCCCGACAGTTTTGTTCCTTCACCCAGCGTTCATTGGAGCTCTGTCATCCCGACAGTTTTGTTCCTTCACCTTAATCCCTCTCACACAGCTTAAAGGCCATGGTCTGAGCTTGGCTCTGTTTCACTCCAGCGCAGTCTTCAAGACAGTCTGGTCCCTTCACCTGATGAAGGCCGCTTGTGTTGTGGCCGAAACGTCGTGATTTTTGTTTTATTTTTTACCTACGTGACTTTACCGAATAGAACCAAAGAGTATGGATCCTTGCAGTCACGAAAGCTTCAAATCTAGAATTGTTTTTTACCTGTTTACTCACCAGCTTTTATCTCACCCGCTAATTTGTTTCCTCAACAAATAAATGATTCTACTTGTAAATACGATTGTGACATGTGAGCCTGCTATGAATGATTTGTTTTTGTGCTAAGCTTTCCCCTTGCATTAATCACACCATTGGTGCTCAATGAGTTGATGCTGCGTGTGCATTGGACAACATGATTGTATTATGTGGTTCTCAGTGCTAAATACCAGCAACAGAATTATGTCGGAGCGTGACGACAAATATTCTACTTGCAAGTGTTTTAGGCACAATTTGGCCACTGATCCCCCATGCACTTCAGCAGGAAACATCGCAGGTGGAAATTCCAGACGTGTTTGTGATATCTACACATTGTTTTTGTCTCTCGTGTAGCAACCCTGAGAGGAGGCTTTTGCAGGGTTGTTTCGGGTCTCTGACAAGCGTGTGTGTACGGAGGGTGTTACACCGTGCTACTCCCTGGTGCTGTGCATTGTTTCGCACTGTGATGTTGTAACTGTATTTGCTTCTGTGGTGTGAAGCAGCTTGTGTTGGTGCCTCCTACCTTTGACACGGAGTTCATTTTGACACGGCATGTGTTCAGGTGCACTGTGTAATGCTTTGCAGATATTGACCTTCTGTCTGACCGCATCCAACACCATTGTTTTTCTTAAATAACAGCAAAATTTGTTTGAATTTGAATTCAATGTCAGTAAGAAGCCTTCTGCACATATGTCTGTCAAGGTAACCGTTAACGATCATCAACTAAAACATCTCACAATCCACCTCTCTTGGGTGTCATAATTCCATTCCATTTTGCTGAATTAACGGTGTGCTTTTAAATCGCTTTGCAGTTCCTGGGCAGCTGGCTTCACAACTCCATTGCTTTTGGCGATGTGAATTGCTCTCTCACCCGAGGCTGGCTACCTTCCACTAACGCTAGAGTGTGTGTGCCGCTGTCTTCCAGAAGTAACTGCACCTCGCATCCTCCTGGCCACTTGGCTTTTTCACTGGGAAATGCGGAACTTGTTTTTACTTTTGTTTGTGCGTAGTGACTTGTGTGCTGAATGAGTAGGTGGGTTACCACTGCCAGAACCACTCGTGCTGCATCAGTGCAACAGTATGCTGCTTTCTGGACACGTTTTTACATTCTCTTAGCAGTGCTTTACTTGCTTGCATTTGCTGGTGTATTTTAATAGCGGAGTAACAATTGTATTTACTGGAGTCTACTTTGGTCTTATTTTGCGTGTACTGTACTGCCTCCTCCCTGCTAATCAATGTTAGGGCCTTCCAGAGATGTACACACACTCGTACGCATATATATGGTAATGTGTATTAAACGTACAAGCTGACCAACTTAAATCAACTCTCCATGACTCGCCGCATATGAACAAAATAATCAACCTCATTGCATGTTCACAACTTGATCATTATGTCTGGTTTTGTAATGTGCATTACATAATGCAACGTTTGAAAATTAGGTCGGTGTTTGGCCTTCATGTTGTTTTATGCTGTGTCAGTTTAATGAGTTTTTGTTACATTTAATATTCCTTTCAAAAATATATCTTGGCACAATTAAATTGAAGATGTGTTTTACGAATATCATACGATAAAGAAAAGGGTTGTGCTTTGTCAGCCTTGACACCAGTATATGAAGATATGCAATGTAATTGGTGACATGTTTGTAGTTGACTGGTGACGTGATTTAAAAAGGTTGAAGTGATTACCTGCTCAAACAAGCAATGTGACAGCGCTTATCTCCAACGGTGGCCCTGCAAATTGTGGAAGTGTCACATTACTTTTATTGAATATATAATGAACATTGTAAATCACTTTAAAAAAAAACTAGTGTTGTATCATGCATATGCACAGCTCTTGTTAAAATCCCCTGCTGGATGATGCTATCCCCACGCCATGGGGGTTATTTTGCCAAACTTCTCTATGCTGGTCAGTGCGGGTTGGTGAAGGGGGAGAGCATAAAAATGAAAGCTTAGAAGTACAGAACAACAACAGACCTTGCTGCACTCTCTCTGCTGCCTGCCATGTATCCCCACATCTTTATGACGGCCTGTTTGTACATGGTGGTCACCAATCCAAGCTCTTTCCATGCTCAAACCTGCTTAGCTTCTGAGGTCTAATGAGATGGGGTACATTTTGGGTGATTTGGTCATGAATGGTACTGAATCTTCATTGACTAATTAGTCATGCGATTTGCTATAAGACTAAATAGATGCTTTAGTTACCATAACTTTAATCATATAACTTGAGATTCCTGTTAAATGTTGAGAAAAATAACGTATTAGGTTTGCATTGATGAATTCATAGTTTTGTTTATGGTATAAGGCTATAAGCATTGATGTTTGTGTTAGCGTGCGAGCGCCTGTTATAGGGGGCGGTAGTGTCATTGTTAGCGCACTGCGCTACGAACCCGACGACTTGGGTTTGATTTCCAATCACGGCCTCCACCAGTGACAATTATCTGAACCGGTCCTGTGCCTTCTCGAGGTCGACTCGGTCTCAAATTACTACTTGGTGTAGTGTGGAAACATCGCCACTCGGGATGTTTACACATGCTTGTTCGCACATGTGACTTGCAATGCTTAATGAGTCGTGTATGTCCGTGCGATGTGTGTCCGGTCTCCAGTCTGGCAAGAAGGGCACCAGCCATGAGCCCAGCCCATTCGTGCAGCTCTCCGTCTCTCACACCACATTTGAAAGCAAGGTAAAGCCCTTTCACCACCACTGTCTTCTTTGGACTGTCTGAGCATACAGGTGGTGCCTGTGAAACACTAGGCACCTGATGGGGAGTGCGAGTGTAGTTTTTTGCGCACTGCGCTGTAAACCTGACGACCCGAGTTCAACTCCCTTTCACAACCAATAACAGTGGAGAATATGTGAACTGGTCCTGGGCCTCCCCTAGGTCGACTTAGCCTGAAATTAGTACCTGGTGCAGTCTGTAAACACGAGCACCGGGGAGACAAACGTGACTGGGTATGGTGTTGGTCCACTCACCCCCTCGTGTGCCTTAATAGGTGCGCACTAACAGTGGCTTCCCCAAATGTCTGTTAAGGCTATACAGGGGATCTGTATTTTGTGTTCAATAGCATGCACCTGGCTTTTGAAGCATTACATTTCAAAAATGCCGTATTAAGTGTTGTTTTGAGGATAATTCTGTGCATGTAAAGTCAAAAATTATAAATTTTCATAATGTTAATAGGGTAATGTAATGGCAAAGTCTAATCATGTTGCTGGCAAACTACAGTCAAAGTCAATGTGATAAAAGCTTTTATATTGATGGCAAAACAACTGCTGTTGGCTTCTTAAGGAAGTTTGCAATGAAACATAACAAGAGCACCATTTATTGGCAATCTATTCAGAATGACATTATTGGCTGTACACATTCACCTTATATCCACTTGTGAAAACTATTTCGTAAAACTGTATTCCTTTTAAACAGTGGACTCATTAATCTACGAGCGTGACCACGGATCTGATCCTAAAAAAATGTAGTGTCGGAATCCCATTTGTTACATTTTGCGTGGTAATCGGTGTTTGTTACTTTGCCGACATCTTTGTGACAGATTTGTTACAACACGAATGACCCAGTCTGGGAGCAGCCATTCACCTTCTGCATCCACAACCCCACTGACCAAGATCTCGACATAGAGGTGAGCTTCATATCTTCTGCCCATCAAACATTACAAATGCTACAAAATGTCAGATTTTCAAGCATGTTCACCATTTATTTCTAAAAATGGGTTTTTTACATTTCAAAATAGCATGAAATGAAACATTTTGACATCGATTTTCTTTTAAATTCAACATTTACACAAAAACTGGTTTACAATCGACTTTCTTACCCACCCTCCCCCCCGTGGCCATCAGGTGAAAGACGACGATCGGCAGTGCTCCCTCGGCTCTTTCAACCTGCCTCTGAAGCGCTTGCTCGCAGCCAATGGCATGACTCTGGACCAGGCCTTCCAGCTGAGCAACTCTGGGCCAAACAGCGTCATCAAGATGAAACTGGCTCTTAGGGTCTGCGTATTTTCTATATATACATTTATGTTTCACCAAAATGTTTGTTGAACAAACTCTTCTTTAAAAAAAAAATCACATTTATCGAGACGTTTAGCAGCCATCTATGTTGTACGTTTACACTTTAAAAAAATTACTTTAGCAAAACTATTTTATTTAAAATAAAACGTGTTTCAAATAACTTATCAAATGTTTACTAGTGGTTGAAGAAATACCTCCCGAGTTTATGACAGTAAGTGGCTATACACATTACTTGACAATTGCATGACATTCTGTTTGCCAATGTGGATAAATAACTGGTGCCACCAATGTCTGTAAATGTCCTTTTCAGATTTTGAAAGTGATGCCTAAGGAAGAAAACGTCATTCAGGATGGGCAGAACCTGGTTCGGAAGAAAGTAGGAAAGCCTCGTGGCAAGAAAAAGGATGCAACAGGGGCTGGCCCTAAGGCCAATGGCATGGGTCGCACTGTGGCCGGAGGGGCAGGGGGCTCCCACTCGTCTCTAATTACCGACAAAGGAGGCGAGGGGCCCCATGCGCAGGAAGGGCTTTCACCTGGATTACACGCGGCCACGAGGCTAGCGGCTGGGCCAGGGAAGGAGCCAACGCCGAGCATTGCGTCGGATATGTCCGTGCCGGCTTCCACGCAGGAGCTCCGTCGCCGCGTCCGGCAGATGCAGGAGTAAGTGTGGTGTGCTTGTGCACACGTAGTTTTGCCATGTGTAGATTTTTACTCAAATGTTTATTTGTTTCAAGGAAAGTCCCAGTTAGCCAGTTGCCCAGCTAGTTTGTAAGGGAGATCTGTGCTGCGTCAGAACAGAACAACAACATCCATGTGATACAGAGAGGACAGGCAACAACAGAACAAAACGCGTCAGCCGTGCAAGCAAAAAGGGCTTAAAGAACAAAATAAATACATAAAGTACGAACAGGCACATTCCATCAAAAACAGGTATTCTGCACCATAAGCAAGGATGAGGTAATGAATGGTCGGAGAGGTGATGAGTGCGAAGTGAACACAATCGAGTGACTAAAACCACCACGGAAATGTGACGAGTAACGGCAAATGAGTTGGATTCAGGTGCAGCCCAAACTGTGTATTCTGAGCTCGGAGTGATTTTAAACGGGGGAGGGAGGGGAGGGAGCCGAGCCCAAGCTGAGAGGGAAGGGCATTCTAGACAAATGTCAAAGTGGAGGGACCAGTGGTATAACGGAACAAGACCTTTTATTGTGATTTCAGATGCTAGGCAGTAGACGTCACAATAGTCAAATCTGGGATGATGGCTTTTGAGTATTTCAACAGTTTAACTGAGATAAGACCACAATGTGACTCGTATTAATTTTGTAAGCATCTGTAGGATGTAAATACTGTCCATATATTTGAACTCATTTTGCCAAAGCTGTCTTCATTGCATGTACCATGTCTGTATCAACAGTGGGACTAGTCTTGGAGAGTTTCCTCTCGGGCAGATTCAGCTCACCATCCGACACAGCGCACAGCGCAATCAGCTTGTTGTGGTTGTGCACGCATGCAAGTAAGTGACACTAATCGATGTACATCCTTAATACATTTGCATTTGTTCTGACACATGCAAGTTTTTCTTGGAACCATTACCTTGTTCTCATCAATGTTTCCATCTTCTTCAGAAACCTTCTGGCACCAACGGATGAAGGGGCAAATGTGTACGTGCGCATATATATGCACCCAAACCGCAGGCGGCTGGGGAAAAGGAAGACTTCAACTGTTAAGAAGTCTGTCAACCCTGTCTTCGATGAGACGTGAGTGAAAGCACACCAGGGAAAGAATTACTCAATTCTTGGTTCTTTTGGTAAAGTCACGTAACTTTACCGAAATAACCAAGAATATGAATCCCTGCAGTCACGAAAGCTTTACATAAAAATGTAATTAATCAATTGTTTAAATATTTTTCATTGTGCTCTGTTGACTAAAGTGATAGCTTTATTCCTATCTTATCAACCCCCGACTACTTGTTAGTCAGGGTTGATGTTGTTTTAATGGCTGATCATTGTTTAAATGCGGTTGGCTCACATGAAATTGATTTCTCTAAGACAAAGGTACTTTTCAAGCCCACTGGCTATCAACAAAGATTCGTTCATGAAGCCATCCATATATACAGACAGACACAATTTCAACCGAGAGGATGGGTACAAACTCAGCAATCATTGGAAGGACGTCATCAACCAGTTTAAGTCATAAATATGCGATGTTTCCATCTTGTCACCTTCTGATGTTAGTTTTCTTTTACTAAAGACAGGACAAACAATTCCAGTTCCTGCGGTGTCGCCCCCTGAATTGGGCGTACCACAAGTTAATTTATGCACGGCTCATGCATCTACCCTTCTCTTGATTCTCCGATTTCACATTAACATAACCATCTCCACTTGTGCTGGCCCCAGAGCACTGGTGCCCTGCCCACTTCGTTCTGATACCAGGACGCTAGAGTTACGCCCATTTTAAACCTTTAAAACAGCTTGCCTTTAGTGGCTTCCCCCCCCCCCTTTTTCCCATCTGATGACGGTCGCTTGTGTTGCAATCGAAACGTCATAGTTTTTTTGTTTTATTATTTGAACATATCTACGTGACTTTACCGAAAGACCCAAAGAATACTTGTTATCTGCCCATTGTAGATTGGAGTTCACGATGACACTTGCCGAAGCGAAGGAAAAACACATTCTAGATCTGGCAGTCAAGCATGATGGGGGATTCCTGGCCAAGGAGGAACTGTTGGGAAAGGCAAGCATCATGAAAGACATTGACGCCATGTTCTTCACTATATTGCTTCACTATATTGCTCATGCAACAGAAGCAATGGTTTAATTGGAAATGCTTTCTTTTATCTCCAGCTTCAGATTGACGTGCAGTCCCTAGACCTGACAAAAGGCACCACTAACTGGTGAGTGGAACACAGGGCGTCTTGCATGCACCCCAAGTGTAGCTCCTCTTTCACATCACGGCTATTACATACCCATAGCCACCACTTTGTCTCAAGTTATCTACAATTTAGAATGGAGAGGGTCTGTATAATTTTCTGCCTATTCTAGAATCTGCTTTGAGTTTGGTTTGCTTAAATAATTTGGTGCCATGTAAGACAAATCACAATTAAAACTTAATGATACTAACAATTATTCCTTAATCGTGAGACATTTATATACTTCCTGCGACAGTAACTTTCACTGCCATAGCCTCAAATCATGTACAGCCCACTCGAGTGGCTGACCCGTTATGTGGCGCTGTGAGGACGCACCTCACGCTGGAGGCGCGTGTGTGGTGTCACCGCTGCAGGTACGACTTGACGGTGGACGGCGACATCCTCAAGAACAAGTGAAGGAGGGAGCGAGATCACTGCCTTGGGGTCCTTTCACTTGGCTATGCCTTATTACCACGCATTGCTGTTACATATTTACGGCTGTTTTTATAGGTTACTCAAACTTTTTTTATCTTAAAGTTTTAAATCAAAAAGGCGTTATCTATGTTTTTACATACTTACGTGTTGTCTGCGTGGTAGCAAATGTTACTGGTTGCTGCCCTGCGCTGATCATGAAAATTACAAAGCCTCTGCTGGCTCACTTCACTTTTAAAGCCACTGATGCCAAAGCCCAGCTTACAAGTTCTCCTTCAGCAGCTACACCTACAAAAACATCTGCTCATAGCTAATTTCTATGCATATTGTGGCTCTGGACACTTGAGCAGGTTAACAACTTAACATCTTAACATATCTAGGACTCACAAATTTCAAGACCCAAATTGACCACATGACTGACAAAATAAAACAATTGTATTCCTATACAGAAACCAACGCTGTATTCCACCTCGACTCCATCTGAATATAGTTAAAGCCACCATCCTGCCCATATTTTATTGTGACACCATCGACCACCTAGCTTCTGAATCTACCTTAAAATGTCTCATTCCATTATACCACTCCGCTCTCCATTTTGCCATTGATAACTATAGGTCTCATCATTGCAACCTGCACATGCCCCCTGGGTATCTTGAGACCATCACCAGGCTGTCTTCAACCTAAAGATTATCTTAAACAAATCTGCCAATTACCTAAAAGGACCATTTTGTCCTCTCTAACGCCTCCCTATAGCATCAGAAGTGCCTCCTGATTCCGTTTAACACGACTAAATATTCCATTGGCTAAAACTTTGGTAAAAAGAAATTCCGTGTTAAACCACGTTTTTGGAATACCCTTGGCCACTAATCTACATCTTGGTTCCGTCCCTTCTCGCCCCCTCTTTGCTCTCCTACTAAACCAAAACAGAGCTTACTTGCACTGGTACCGAACACTTTGGGCGCCTTACTCCCACGTTTGCACTGGCTTTCGATTCACATGTGTATGTTACTTTTAGACTCAAATAGAGCTTAGGTGCATCTGTGTCTAAATATTCCTATGACACTTGCACTGTTTGTGCCCCGTGTGCGTTTCGTTTATGACTTAAATATCTCGTTTGTTGTGCAATATTTATTAAGGACCCTGTATTTGCTCTCTGAAATTTCGACGTTTGTTTTGTTACCGTGCTCACACAACGCGGATCTTCCTTGTAAAATAGCTGGAAAACTGCCAGTGTTAAGGAGAATGGTTTGTGCACGTTATTTTGTTCATCTGCTACCAGTGTAATTTCACAACGAAATGTTACATTTTGCATCATCACATACCGGAGTAAAGTGAAATGAGTTAAGCCACATCAGTTCCACATTTTCTGGCTCATTTTCCTCAGTTATTACCGTTTTACGGTGTGTTTTTTTTATCGAATTGGTACTTTTATGGCGCATTTCTTTAAATTGTGTTTCCCTAGTTTGTGACAGGACCAGCGCACGTGCACCAAAGTGACTATAGCACAGCGCTGTTACCCACTTCCCTTGGGTATCCATAATCTCTGAAGCACCTGTGCTGGAGCATGTGTGCACATCTGCTGAGGGCCCACTGCTACATTTTTAAGTGCTCTGTAATTTTTATGTTACATTAAACATATGTAAACTATTAAACGTGTTAATCTGCGTGTATTTTCTTGTGTTCACAGCTGTCATTGCTTATTACCATCCATTTTTCGTATATTTATATTATAACCGGTGTATAACTGCTTTTGTATCAGTTTTCTGCAAAATGCAAGAATATAGTTAATATTAGTTAAACAAAAAGATAACATGGGTCTGAAGTAACAACTTAAAGGAATGTATTTACAAAAACTGTTCAGAGAATCAAATTAATCTGACACGCTGGCTCAAAAGTTTGAAAATGCGCGTTACTCATCCCCTTTCACTAAAGAGATAGCCTCTCAAGTTTGCTGTAAATGTTTTACATTAAACACTCGTGAACACAGCTTCATATTCCCGAGTACCATCTGGTAATTACATCCAGCATCGGGCGATTTGCCAGAATAGTCGGCGAAACGTAATCACATTGGAAATGTGGATTTACTCTCCAACACACCGGTGGGCCGAATTAACTACGGCAATTGGCGCGTTTTGTTTACGTGACAAACCTTCCTGGCTGTGTCGGGTGGTGGAGAGTTACAACACATTTATACTTACAACGATCTAACTCAAACACCTTTATCATTAACATTGGTCGCGAAAGCCTTACTACGTACGTAGTTGGACTCCAGCTTGTTCAGAGAATGCAGCTGCTAAGAGTCCTTAAAGCGCGCACACACCGTTTCGCGAGCACACCACACACTCGTTCTCTTGTCTTTGCATTGGCTACCAGTGAAGTATTCGAGTGGACTGTAAGATACTGCTGCGTACTGCTCACCTACAAGGCGCTCGAGGGGCTCGCCCCACGATATTTGCAGGAACTGAGCCGTTCTTACATTGAGGTCTCTGGTATCTTCGGATCGCCTTGTGAGGACTGCAACCCAGAGGTCAAGGCTCATTTCCTTGAGTGATCGGGCTTTTTTTTTTACCAGTGCACATTCCAGACGCTGGAACGCTTTGCCTATGCTCAGAAGGCAGATTCGTCAGAGATAATGAATTCGGTCGAGAAAAATCACGTCTTTAAATTGACCATCTCCTAGTTCTGCCCGTTTCCCCCGGTTCTGTTTCCTGCTTTCCATACACGGCGCATTGGGATCTACGGTTTAAATGCGCCGTACAAATGTAACTTATTATTGTAGTGTTCTTCACGGAGGCACACGCTTATTACACGGCCCCAACAGGGCCACTACTTAAACGTACACAAGTTAACTAGACCCCTACGGGGTAACTACATAACTGGGTCAGTCGGTAACATTTTCACTGACCAACGATGCCGAGCGAAGATCGAAGAGACGTAGCACAGAGGATTGTTTCCAGCGAACAGCCCCAGTCGGCGGTCGGGACTCGGCCTTTATGGGCCGCGGCGTGGCCGGGCTCCGCCCTTGGCCACGCCCCTTTCCAGATCCTTCCCGAAGACTCTGGCCCCTACATCACGTGTCCCTCTCCCCTCCTTTTGGGCCCCCATTGCCACCTCGTACGGTCACGTGCCCCAGACTGCCACGTCCTCACTGGAGCTCTCTCTCTCGCTGTCACCAGGACGATGCCTCCTTAGGGCCCGCTTCCATGGCATACCAACTCTGGTGCCCGAGAGAGGCCCAAGACACAGCCCCACTCTTGTGAAGTGAGCTGGCGCTCAACGCCATAGTGACTCCATTTACATTGTCAATAATCCTAGCGCTCATTAGACGCTGTTCCTCCCACTTCCTGGATAGCTGTGAAAAAGAGCTTCATAGCTCATCAGATTCCTCCAAGATAAATAAAACAAATTTATAGTGGAAGGCTAAACGTGATTTCACGTATGAAAAGTAATAATAGGTTTTACCCTTTCTGGCAATTAAACAGACGTGAAGATGTTCAAACACCAAATAGAAACGTTTTTTACTGGTAGGAACGAAGTTGTAAACTGAGTGTACCAGCCTGCAATAGATTAATGTGTCCGTCCGTCCGTCCCCTTTCAATACTTTAACGAAGTGAAATCTCGTGCTGTTGGGTGTAAAATCAGCAATAGACAGCGCAAAGACTTGTCCTACCAGCCCACCCTGCAGGGACATGTTCAAGGAATCAAGTTGGCATTAACCACACGGGGAGAGAAAGGGGGTGGGTGGGTGGGAGAGGGGGCGGGTGTGTGGGTGGGTGGGAGAGGGGGCGGGTGGGTGGGTGGGTGGGAGAGGGGGCGGGTGTGTGGGTGGGTGGGAGAGGGGGCGGGTGTGTGGGTGGGTGGGAGAGGGGGCGGGTGTGTGGGTGGGTGGGAGAGGGGGCGGGTGGGTGGGTGGGTGGGAGAGGGGGCGGGTGGGTGGGTGGGTGGGAGAGGGGGCGGGTGGGTGGGTGGGTGGGAGAGGGGGCGGGTGGGTGGGTGGGTGGGTGGGAGAGGGGGCGGGTGGGTGGGTGGGTGGGTGGGAGAGGGGGCGGGTGGGTGGGTGGGTGGGAGAGGGGGCGGGTGGGTGGGTGGGTGGGTGGGAGAGGGGGCGGGTGGGTGGGTGGGTGGGTGGGAGAGGGGGCGGGTGGGTGGGTGGGTGGGTGGGAGAGGGGGCGGGTGGGTGGGTGGGTGGGAGAGGGGGCGGGTGGGTGGGTGGGTGGGTGGGAGAGGGGGCGGGTGGGTGGGTGGGTGGGAGAGGGGGCGGGTGGGTGGGTGGGTGGGAGAGGGGGCGGGTGGGTGGGTGGGTGGGAGAGGGGGCGGGTGGGAGAGGGGGCGGGTGGGTGGGCGGGTGGGAGAGGGGGCGGGTGGGTGGGTGGGTGGGAGAGGGGGCGGGTGGGTGGGTGGGTGGGAGAGGGGGCGGGTGGGTGGGTGGGTGGGAGAGGGGGCGGGTGGGTGGGTGGGTGGGAGAGGGGGCGGGTGGGTGGGTGAGTGGGTGGGAGAGGGGGCGGGTGGGTGGGTGGGTGGGTGGGAGGAGAGGGGGCGGGTGGGTGGGTGGGTGGGAGAGGGGGCGGGTGGGTGGGAGAGGGGGCGGGTGGGTGGGTGGGTGGGAGAGGGGGCGGGTGGGTGGGTGGGAGAGGGGGCGGGTGGGTGGGAGAGGGGGCGGGTGGGTGGGAGAGGGGGCGGGTGGGTGGGTGGGTGGGAGAGGGGGCGGGTGGGTGGGTGGGTGGGAGAGGGGGCGGGTGGGTGGGTGGGTGGGAGAGGGGGCGGGTGGGTGGGTGGGTGGGAGAGGGGGCGGGTGGGTGGGTGGGTGGGAGAGGGGGCGGGTGGGTGGGTGGGTGGGAGAGGGGGCGGGTGGGTGGGTGGGTGGGAGAGGGGGCGGGTGGGTGGGTGGGTGGGAGAGGGGGCGGGTGGGTGGGTGGGTGGGAGAGGGGGGGGTGGGTGGGTGGGTGGGAGAGGGGGCGGGTGGGTGGGTGGGTGGGAGAGGGGGCGGGTGGGTGGGTGGGTGGGAGAGGGGGCGGGTGGGTGGGTGGGTGGGAGAGGGGGCGGGTGGGTGGGTGGGTGGGTGGGAGAGGGGGCGGGTGGGTGGGTGGGTGGGTGGGAGAGGGGGCGGGTGGGTGGGTGGGTGGGAGAGGGGGCGGGTGGGTGGGTGGGTGGGAGAGGGGGCGGGTGGGTGGGTGGGTGGGAGAGGGGGCGGGTGGGTGGGTGGGTGGGAGAGGGGGGCGGGTGGGTGGGTGGGTGGGAGAGGGGGCGGGTGGGTGGGTGGGTGGGAGAGGGGGCGGGTGGGTGGGAGAGGGGCGGGTGGGTGGGTGGGTGGGAGAGGGGGCGGGTGGGTGGGTGGGAGAGGGGACGGGTGGGTGGGTGGGAGAGGGGGCGGGTGGGTGGGTGGGAGAGGGGGCGGGTGGGTGGGTGGGAGAGGGGGCGGGTGGGTGGGTGGGAGAGGGGGCGGGTGGGTGGGTGGGTGGGAGAGGGGGCGGGTGGGTGGGTGGGAGAGGGGGCGGGTGGGTGGGTGGGTGGGAGAGGGGGCGGGTGGGTGGGTGGGAGAGGGGGCGGGTGGGTGGGTGGGAGAGGGGGCGGGTGGGTGGGTGGGAGAGGGGGCGGGTGGGTGGGTGGGAGAGGGGGCGGGTGGGTGGGAGAGGGGGCGGGTGGGTGTGTGGGTGGTCGTGTACACGTGGGGGAGGGGCCTCTGCAGTGTTTATCTCGGCTGCATCGGAACGGTGAAGCCGGAACAAAAGACGCCCGCTGTTGTGTTTCCCGCCCGGAGTAGTGCGCTCAACGAAGCTGCCCGGGGCAGAGTTCCTACAGCTGCAGGGGTAAGTTGTGGACAGGCGTTCTCCTCACGCAAGCCACGCTCTGGTTATCATCTCGTCATTACTCCACGCTCTGGTTATCATCTCGTCATTACTCCACGCTCTGGTTATCATCTCGTCATTACTCCACGCTCTGGTTATCATCTCGTCATTACTCCACGCTCTGGTTATCATCTCGTCATTACTCCACGCTCTGGGTATCATCTCGGTATTACTCCACGCCGTGGTTATAATCTCGTTACTACTCCACGCGATTGTCATTGTCGTACGTTAACATTGTCATAACTTGTTTTTTTTAGCTGAACTGGATTTCCAGTATTTGTACGCCGTACATAACGTTCGTATAACTTAAACGATAATGCATTGTTTATACCGCATTAGTGTTGTTAGTGACAGAATTGTACTTGGTTGTCACACGTACATTGCGCTACCGTTGCTATTGTTCGAGTTGTAATTGCGCGTAACTACTGCGTTACAATGCGCGTAGTCGCTATGCCCTGCTCTCATCCCTCATTGATAACTCCCAACGCATTGCGTCTGTGATGGGAATTCTTGGATCATACTTCACCACGCTGGTCGGAGAACAAGGTGGGGGGTGGTGGTGGGTCGCGTTGAAGTCTTTTATAGACAGACGAGTTGCGTCGCGCACAGAGAACCTCGCAGGCGACCCAGCAGCTCCATCCGTCTTCAATGTCACCTCTTCCCCACGCGAGAGATACCGACCCCTTAAAAGTCTCGGGTCACCGATTGACCGCGAGGTCATGCGGTGCTGCTCTGCACGCCTTCTCTTTCCAAATGACAGCCACTCCACGCGTGATCTCGGGTCTGCAGCGCCGCTCACAACATCT